GATGAATTGTGGCTACTATCCTACCTGGCACGGATAAGTACTGTTTGATCGTTTCAGCGGAGCAATCTATTATACCTTGACGCAAAATCATTCTGACCAAAGACAAGGAATGAGTAAAGTCAACGAATTTGTTCCAGGATTACTCTCGCATAAATGGCATGTTCGTATTCACCGAGAGAGTGCAAAGCCTAGGGGTGATGCCAGGGAACTTCTGATCGAAACCTGCAGAGGGAAAAATAAATCCTTTCTCAACGTAAACGGTTGAAAGTCTCCTACCACTCGCGTCGGTCCCATAAGCTGTCGAGGCTCCAATTGAGAGAATACCATGCGGGTGATAGCCGATCATGTAACTCTTCTTTGGGGTGAAACCTAACAATGAGCATGATACTAGGACCAGAAGGAGGCGGGGGCGTTACTGGAGGAAGCGGGTTCGTCTCGAATAAGGTGAACTGGAAAGTATTTGGCGAAGTTCCTCATAAGGGGAGAGTTGCGGAAGAACTTACCCACAGGCCGAATATGTCGAGTATAGTATCTATGGGGCAAAACTGATACCACTCCTTCTGGAACTACCTTACTTTGTGTCGATATACACGTATGTTGCATAAGCTACTATGAAAGGCCAGGTGACTCTCCAACAATAGATGGCCAGACAGGCCAGCAGCAGCGACTGAACCAATAACGAGCTTAGCTATCAACAGGAACTTCACAATAGACCCTTACCACTAGCTGCATTGAAAATATAAAGAGACATGCCATCATCTCCCTCCTCCTATGAGGTGGCACTTTAGTCGGGGCGAAATCCAACCCAAACACCTACAACCAGTTACCACGTATAATATGCACTAAAGCACATACCTGTTTCGCTTCGTCATCGGCTCCTCCTCTTTTCGCATGGCAAGCAGCTACTGGCTCCGTCAAGGTTTCAATGGACGACGAACCTCCCTTACTATCCCCTTCTTCAGCTAGCCTAGTGCCTTGTTTTGGCAAGAGTAATGAGACTATATCATCACGAGTGTTGATAACCTGTACTTTTCTTCGCTACACCTCATGTACTTTCTTACCTTACCTGATCCGTGAGAGCCTGGCCAGCCTTCTTGTCTTTTGTAAGGTTTTCTAGTGCATGTGAGAGCACTTGCGTGACCAGGTCGAAATGCTTGTCAGTCAACGCCGTATACACCTACACGACGGTAAAACGTCGGGCAAGGCAAAAGACTCTCCCTTACTGGTAAGCTCAGAGGAGCAATGAGAACATCATCAGCATCAGTATCAGCAGAACTGTCCTCTTCTATGGGGGAAGTTTGCCCGTTGAGATCCCGGAATTTTTGAAGGAGCTGAAGAGAAGAATGAACAGTAAACTGCCATACCACAAATCTGTCAACTCTACCATTTCCAATAGCATTCTTTCAACGGCTTTAGCATCATAAGGATCGTATAGTTCCCTTACTGAGCTGTAGTCATCTGAACACAATGCAATGGAGTAAGCAAGGGCCCTGAAATTACGCGTTAGCTTGAGGTACTCCTCTACAAGGGCCTTGCAACCTGTAACCGAAGCGAAGTAGTCGAGCCAGGCTGGAGTCCCCTGTCCAAAAGGGAGCTTTTCCTCAGATCCCCCGGGCATCTAAAAAGCAATGTGTTCAGATTTATCGTAAGCATTGGTAGTACATCGAATGATGATACCTTCCTGGGCTGACGCGAAGACTTCGTTTGTATCATGTACTACGACGGGGAAATACAAAAACAAATCTAAGTGTCGCTACTAGCGACTCGCTAGGGTAGTGGCGGTGGCCAGATGATGAAACGGATGCCCGTGAAACCAGCACTAAATCCGTTAACTGAGAACTCCATGCAGCTGCACAAAAGTAAATGCAAAAAAATGACAACACGCATGTTCGAACCGGGGACCTCACGGATGATGGGCGCGCTCGGAAATGGAGGAAGTTGGTAAGTTTTGGCCGAGGGATGTCTCCAAGCAGTTAAGCGGTGAGTACAGCATCAAACTGAAGCATCTCTACTCCTCAAAGCAAGAGGAATCGCCAAAGTGTTGACTCAACACTGTTGACTATATCAGTGCGACAGCCACGAAGACTGCCAATTTAAGGTAATCTGGACAGTGTCCAGATTACAGTGGAGTCCACTGTAATCTGGATCTGGAGTAATCTGGAGTCCACTATGTGTCCACTGAGTGGACACATAGTACTCTAAGCATACGGGGTTCTGACACAACCGTTCTGTTATTCAATTATTGTACACCAGTAGTTGACAGTAGTTAGTAGACAGTAGTTGACGGTGTGTTTCAAGCAGAAGTTAACAGCTCGGCTATAGGGCACAGAGGGATACAACGAGTAATCGTCGATGGTAAGGATTTGAAGGTGGCCCCCAAAGTAGTATCTCACGGTAACACCATACGTTTTGCATAATTCAGTTCAGTTGGAGAAGGAAATTGAGAATTTGCTTTCACATAATACGACGACACGTACTTTTGTTGCGGTAAGGGTGCCAAGAGCAATGCGTCCAGGTATCTCGGAATACTGTCAGATACAGGCGAGGAAGCGTATCAAATGCATGATGGAGGGTGAAGAGATAGTGAGAGGAACGGGGACTCGATACTCTAAGTATTTATCGAGAAAGAGAAAATACTTGCTTACCAAAGATCGTAAGCATGCCTACAGCACCACGGAGATGCGCTCCGAGGTGCTACGGCACGGGTTTCCAGAAACGGACGACGAAAACTCGCGAGTAATGGGAGAAGAACTATATCACTCTTGGCCATCTATGCGACACAAAAATGCTTTGCTGGGGGGCCACTACCCTCTGGGAACGGACGAGAGAATAGACGACAAGGCAGCGGTCTACTGCACGACTACTATTGGAGTGCGTGCAACACTCATCAACATCTACAGCGCCCTATGCGATGGCGACTGCGACAATGAGAACTTGGTGTTAGGTGTAGATAGACATTACAAATCCTGCCGCGGACCCTGCACCTTCATAGTCCTAGGAGTCTGCCACTGCATCCTTAATTTGGATGGGTGCATTGCATTCACAGTGGCGCCCTTGTTAGGAGCGATAGCCCTCAAGTTGATGGCATCAAGCGAATCGGTCCGCTATCTGTAGATGAGATAGCAGCCTTGGGAAACGTCTTCAACGTGCATGGGCGGATAGAAGGCAGAGTATTAGAGAGTAAGTTACTTACCTTGCTACGATCGAGGGGTCAGTAGCTAGGAACTCAGGAAGGATAGATCGAGGAGTGGAAAGGCAAGAACTGAGAAGTCAAAGGAGGCAACGGTCGCCTCCTTTGACCTGAGAAGCCTAATTTAGACTGGCATTTCGCGACGTCTAGTACCAGCGAACAGTTCGAACCTCGAACTGTAGAGGTAGCTCATACGTCATACGTCCTGCGACTAGAGAGCCTCCGGCCGTCTCCAGTGGAAACGGATGATGGACGATCGTTGGCAACATGTTCCTCACACGGATTGCAACTCGAAATTTCCGATTTCCCAGAGAGAGGCTCTCTCAGAGAGCTGAAGTCTTCAGCCTGAAGAAGAACTAAAGTTGATATGAAGAGCGTTAGCGACAATCATTGTAGGTGTTAACAATGATTGTTCAGTGAGATTATCCCATTCGTCTGAATAGTGTCCCAGGAAACACGAGCGGTCTGACTCGGGCCGACTCCACGGTCATCCACAGTGAATGATCCACTGCAGGAGGAACCATTACAGCCTCCTAGTGAAGTCATACATAAACTTATAACTCAGAAAATGAGATCCAAGAAAGTAAGGGTCATAAACAAAGTTTGAAGTGAGGAGCAGGAGTATCATCACCATTATCATGTGATTTCAACATTGTCGATAGGCTCGGCTACCAGCGCTATAGGCTTATACTACGGCTCTCAGCTAAGTAATGTCACAGTGTTCCAGAAGTGGCATACCGAATCTCCCTTCCTTGTTCACGAAGACTATCAAGGAGCATCTTGGCTTCCTTCTCCGAGCTCGTCCATCTTTCCATCGAGTATTGAGATTCTCAATTTGAGAAGGTGTTTGATTCTTGTATCTGTTGCTTCCCTGTCCCAGTCGTCAAAGAGGTCGCCATGTCGGATAACACAACCAGGTAAATGGTGAAGTAGATTATCTTGATCATCCTCAATCCTACTCATCTGGGCTCAGCGGGAGCCAGCCGTTTCATGCAGAGTCGTTTCAACTCAACAGAAGACGAAGCGAGAGTACTGTGCGTGGAGGGCTCACCCGCACCAGTGAGAGGGTTCACCGGCACCAATCACCTCGTAACTTTATCCACTCAGCAACTGGGACGGAGGGCGGCCTGTTGCCAGTTCGGCTAGAGGTGTCAGAAACCTCCCTGTGCCCCGGCTACA